CAGTCACAAGAACGTCGAATCTGAATCACTTGAAAAAAACACGGGGGTGCTTAACTTTTTTCCAGGTATATATAATAGCGTATGAAGTGTAAAGATACCTATTGGTTGTACAGTAGTATGTAAAGTGATAAATAGATGGCAGTGGTTAAACAGTTTACCTCAGTACATCTTTCGTAACAACATGTTGTAATAGTTTTTTAAATATTTATAAAATTTTCTTAGTGAATTTAAAATTTAGTTTAAGATTTTCTCTATGGCATATTTTTTGGAACATATCACAAGGTTTTAGTGAGTTACATTTAAAATGTAATTAAACTACTTTTTTTTTATCGTGGTATACAAATAAACTTGACCAACCTCTTATAGGGCTAGGGTAGAGAAAGTAACAGATAAAATATAGTTTTACTGAAAAAAAACATTTGAAATTTGTTTAGGAGGTTTTAGAGATTCTTCAAATGAAATTTGAGATTTTTCAGTTGAAGAGAAGTATTTTTAATTTTAACAGGAAAATCACTTTGCACTCAGAGCAGTCAACACTTTGACTCACTATATTCCTGGAGAAATTTTTAGTGAAACTGCTTTATTAAAAATTATGATTTTTTGTCTACATATGGCTCTTAATGATTACTGAAAACTTGCAAAATTTTTTAAAGATACACAAGACATATTAGAAGTTATAGTATTGAAACTATAAAGGTCAATTTAGGGTCTCGTACTTAGCTGAGCCCATAGTGAGAGAGTTAATTTAAGTTTTCATTTAGTATCAAACTTTTATGTCACAACAGAAGGTGTTTTTAACCACACTTTCACTAGAGTTTGAGCAAATATTCTTGTTTGTCACAATGTAAGTACTATGTACACACACACTCCACATCACCATGATTCATGTTTTGATAGTTTATGTGTGTAATTTTACATGTTTAACATGGTTTGACATTATGCATACATACTCCGTACATCACCACACTTCCATAAAGTTCACCTGTGTAACATAAAGTGACACTGAATGCACACATTACACTACCACACATCCAGAAAATTTACTTGTATGAAACAATAAAAACTATTTCCATTGTCTTGTTAATACTGCTGTTTCTTAGAAAATTTAACTTTTATATCATATTACAGTCTGACACATACACTCTCTACATTACCACATATCCAGGAAACTTACATACGTGACACAATAAAAACTTTTTCCATTCTCTTTTTAGTGTTGTTGTCTTGGAAAATTTAACTTTTATATCATAATACAGGCAGGCTAAGTTTGATATCTTACTTCTGCCATAAATATTATTCTCATGGTCATTTCAGAAGATGCTCTAGTTGTTTTCTCTAATCTCTGTTTAATGGTTGAATAGACTACAAAATGATTCTCAGGTAGCTCACTCTTGTGTTTTATGCCTTGAACTTGGAGAATCCAGTCAAGATGTATTTTCTCAAATCAATATAAAGTTTTGTGGACCGTAGTTTTTTTACTTTTCTCATAGCACTTTGGATGTTAACTTACTTTTATGTTGCATACTCTTGTTCCATTATTCTTTGTTTTATTTATTTTTTCTCATAGTATAGGTCACTTTTCATTTTATTGGGTGAGCCTTTTAGTTTTCTAAGACTTAAGTTCTACCTGCTTCTCATTCAATTGTGGCTAATGACAATCTTGAAATCTTGTAGAGTAACATTGATAATTTATCTGTCTGAGATATTGTTTTAACATGTATGGTGCTTAGAAGGGATTCACAGTTTGAAAAGGCTTAGTTTGATCAATAGATGTACATATTAATGCCTCAATATATGTATTTATTGTCATTTCATGCCAGTGTATCCAAACCTTGTCACTGCATCAAGGTGTTATAATTACATGAGAAGCTTTACCAAACCCCCAGTTTACCCATGACTAACTTAAGATAGGAGAAGCTGATACTGAAATTTACTCTTACTATCTGTTCAATACATATAGCTATCTGATGTGTTTTTATTAGTAGCATTTAACTGGTGCATTTTTCTTCATCCTTCTTCATGTCCTTAACAGCTGCACAACATAACTATTAGGAGTTTCTAGATGATCCAGAGGGGCTAACTAGCCAGACTCATTACTTCACTTGCTTATGCCATTACAACACCAAAGATTTCAAGTACAACTCAGTATAGAAGACATGTTTTGTTCATATCCATTAAACTGTGAATATCATATATTCTTCTGAGTTAGGCTGCCACAGCACTTGGGTTTCTTCTTTATGGGATCTGTTTACCTGTTTTGTATTTAGCATTTTCTCACCAATGGTAGCTTTCCATTAGTTTTTGTCATTGAACTATAGTTTCTGCCTACTTTCATTCTTATGTTGAACATCTCTGTTATTTATGCAATCACTACATCTTTAACATTTCATTTTGCTTTATGAAGGTCTGCCAATTTTGAAATGCCAGGCCTTTCCTTTGTTTTACAAAAGATTGCTAACTTTAAGGTGTCAAGCATTTCCTTTTGATCTTCCTTGGTCTGCCAACTAGGTGCTAGACATTCCTTTTACTTTACCAAGGCATGCTAACTTCGAGATGCTAAACATTTCATGTGTTTTAGACAGGATCTGCTAATTATGATGATTTAAAAGTGAAAGTAAAGAATGATATAATAATATGTCAACTACACTATATCTGCTATATTCAATGTCAATTAGACCTTTCACCCCAAACCAGGGATTATTAGGCTGGGCTAGATATGAGAAACGTAGTGGTGAAAATACTTTATCATCAATTACTTGAACATCAGCTGTTTGGCAATGAACTCGGTGAAAAGACACTGCTAACTTCTAGACCATCTATGTCTTTTTCTTTTGAATAATCTTTCTTCTTATCTCCCATTAGCAAGTTTCTTAACTTCAACTTCTTGTCTCTCATTCCAGAATTCCTTTACTTCTCCATCTTTTTTTGCTGAGTTGGTTGGAGAGGAATTTGACCATGTTATTTTAATATATTAATAATTTCTAGATTAAGATGGATTATTTGTATGATTATACCATTGATTTTAAAAGAGTAAGTTTGAAGATTGGATCACTGAAATTGGAAAATACAGTGGTAGGTTTTGGATCATGGCATCATTTTATTACATTTTTGGTAATTTCAACAAATATTAGTTCATCACAGTACAAAAGCTCAGTGACAAGTACTATATCATGATGTCATTTTACTACAGTTTTGGAAAGCTTAATGGTATGTATTGGATGATCATGATGTCTTTTCTTACTATACCCTTGCTTGAAAAATTAATTGGTACATATTGTTCTTCACGTAATTTCAGTATGGTAGGAAAGTTTATCAATACTTATTAGCTGATAACATTATTTCGCTGCACTAATTAAAAATTCACTTGTAGAATTTGGGTCATGACATCAGTCTAATGCATTCTTAGAAAGTTCACTGGTGAGTATTAGAACAAGACATCTTATTACTATTAGAAAGTTTTTCAGGGATATTGAGTTATAATTTCAGTACACACGTCAAGTTTAGTAACTGTGGCTCATTTTATTACACTTTTGAAGAGTTCATTGTGAAATTTGCACATGTTTTGTAAATTAATTCTTAGTATTAACAGTAATACTACTGAGATGTTACTTCTTTATTTTAGTTTGTATTCAGATGAAAATGACCAGCCTACTGTGTCTCCTTTGTCAGGAAATGTGTGTTTTGCTAGTTCTCAATACAGTGTGTGTTTTACCCTACGCTCCTTCGCTCAACTTTATGCGCAGACATATGGCAACATCAATCCTTTTGATTTTGCTCGGCGCCTCTGGGGAGATATCTATTTTAACAGTAAAACGTAAGCATTGAAAGATATCTGTTATAGTTTTAAAATATTTCTTATTTGTAACTTTTAGAACTAAAATATAAGTTTGTTGTAATAGAAAACAGTTTCATTATAATTAGAAGAAAAATACAACAATAATATATCTTCTTGTGGATTTTGAAAGTTAAATGTAAATTTTCTCCAAAAGAAAAAAAATATTTTGATAGGTATATATTTATAATCTTAAAATAAACATGAAGACCAATCTGTTATTTGATTTATTACTTTTCACTTAGTTATATCAGTTTTGGAGAATTCTGTCACTCATCAATAACCCTGGACAAGGGCAAATTGAAAGAACAAGCCAAGGCTTCATATAGTGGTGAAATGAATATTATATATTAATGTTTGCAACAATATCTAATCAAATTTCTAAGATTTGTGTTAGCGTTTATATAAGGTGTTTCTCAGGAAGTATGGAAAAAGTGTCATGTTGAAGTTAGTAGTTATAAAAAAGGTATATTCCAGAAAACATGGAAGAAGTGTTATGTTGATGCTAGTAGTTATGAAAGGAGTGTATATCAGAAAGCATGAAAAAGAGGTGTGTTATTTGGTGTTAGCAGTTAGAAAAATGTGTGTGTGTGTATATCTGAAAGCATTGAACTTGTGTCAGGTTGATGTTAGTAGTTATAAAACAGCATATGTCAAAATGCATGGGAGAAGAGTAGCATAATTTGCATTTGATTTGACTAAAGAAGTTAAAAATAATATAAATATTGTAAAAAAGGAGGGAAGTGATGTATCTTTTTTTTTCACATGCAGAAGGAAATTCACCAAAAAGCCACCTCATAGTTCAGCATTAAGGAGTTTTGTTGAGTTTATTTTGGAACCACTGTACAAGTTATTTGCTCAGGTTTGATTTAATGTAATTTTTTAGCCTAATTTAAAAATAGATTAATAGGTTAAAGTTGTGGAGCTTTTAATTTAAAATTTTCTTCAGCAACATATCTTGCCATTTTATGATGATTTAGAGAAAAGTCTAAGTAAATGAATTAGTTGTGTCTTTTAAGATTACTCTTAATGATTAAATTAGACATATTTTTCAGAATGCCTAATAAATGTGAGTACAAAGTAATGATTCAATTAGGCATATTTTTATAGGTACACAATAAATGTCCGTAGAAAGTGATAAATGACAAGAGGAACTAGTGGCTGAATCAGTCATATTTCAAAATAACTGCTGAATGAAATAATTATTGAATTAGCTGAATTTTCCAAAACACCTGATATATATAACAGTCCCAGTGAGATTTTCAACGGTCTTGCAGGTAGCATTTGATAAACTCAAAAAATAAAGGAGAAAAGCATCTCAATGTCTATGAAAAACTATTTACAATGTACACCACATGTTTACCTTCTGCAAGTGGAAAAGCAGTAAATGTACTCATGAAAAACTTTGTTTACAATTTACACTGCATGTTGTTTCCCTTAACTCTTTCAGCCAGGGCTTGGTTCCTGGGACCGACCTCATAATCATTTTGTGCTTGTTATAGCATTCACGATATAACTTTTAAATTAGTAAGCAAATTTTAACGAAATTTGGCAGATTATCAGTAAACATTACAATACTTTTATAGGCAAAATATTTAATTTTTTATTAAGTCTTAAGGTTTTCATTATAAGATTAAAAATACTTTTATGCATCAGACAATTTTCAAATTTCACATGCTAAATCTTTATAATGTCCAGATAGT